ATTATTTATACCAGAGAACTTAAAGTGTATGACACTCAAAATAAACCCTCATCCCGAGGACAATCTGCTCCCAGTGGAGTGATCAGTGTTTCTCCACGCTCTCCTTCAATTCCCAAGAGGAAATAAATACACAAATCAGTCGATTTCTGTCATATATACGATTATTTAGAGCTGGCAACACTTTACGATGTTTCATTTAACTTCAATACTTCTACAGAATTTATTAATGTATGCATTTTGATTTAAGAATGCATTACACCATGTTCAGGTTTGACTGTAACAATTTACCCTTTGCAGGGACTTTGATTGACAGGCGATCTGACCAATCATAATCCGTCATCTGCAGAATCCGCCATTTTTGTCCGACAAAGCAGTCAGGAGAGTTAGTAGATTAACATTGGAGGATTTGAACTTGATAAACGCGTGTACTGACGTCTCTTTGCGGTTAAAACAATATTCCTTCTGATGTTCATTCACGTTTATTTGATGCTGTAAGTGAACTAGAGTGATCTGTCAGACACATTAAAGAGCCACAAAACGATATTTATTGTTTAAATTTATTTAAAAAATGACCACATTTGAAAATTGAGACCTTGTTTCATATCCAAAGTAAGCAAAAATAATAGTATTTCTTACTAAATGTATTATAATTTTTATATTGTTATGCAAATATGTAATTTTACTCTCTTTTAGGGTGACTTATTACCATCTGTCTAGGGACTGGAGATGGAAAATAGCCTTTTGGCTAATTCTGGCATATTGACAGAAATGTGTATTAATATGCACTGTCCCTGTAATACATAAATAAATAAAAATAAATAAACATGGTGTGCGTGAGAGAGGCGTGGCTTATCGGACATAGCAACAGTAACTAAAGGGGGCGGGTCTTTGCGAAGATCAATTACAAAAAAAGATTTTTTTAATTCAGTACAGAATTTGTTTGCTAAAATGTCAAATTGTTGTAATAATAGTGATTTATCACATCTAGACATAAATCTAAATGAAAAACGAGGAGTAGTCCTCTGCTGCCATCTAACGGCTGTACTTAAAAATTCATGTTATTTTAAATTTAAAATGTTTTCCATGGTCTCGGAAAGGCAGAATATACTCTGGTTAGTAAGAATATTCAGATATTTGTACTGAGAAACGTCAAAGATACTCATTTTTGCAGTGTATTTAATGTAGGAGAAACAGTATTAGACTGAAATAAACTCTATTTAAATAAACATGTGACAAAGTATGAAAGATTTATTGCTGTTTTTCCAAAATACTATCATGGGGTGTATACTAGCACTAGTGAACTCTTCTCCATCCCAAACACGTCTTTCTCTGAATCCTTTAAGAAGTGTAAATCCGTCCCACCCACATGTTAATCTTTAGCTGTCATCGGTAATAAAGAAGGGAGTATTTCGGGTCTGGCCTTTTTGCTAAAGGATGAGATGTAAGAGTGTCAGTCTCACATTTGAAACGCATTAAATGAACCTTTCAACTGGAGGAGATGCTCTCACCCGAAAGCCTCAGCTCATCAGCGAACAGAGAGACACTGGAGTTAAAGTCTAACGCTCAAGAGACAAGTAGAATTAAGAAGAATTAAGTGTTTTATTTCAGCAATAGAGAGACTCACATCTGTTCATCTGGATGACTAACTGGCTCGAATCTGACATGAAACATGATGATTTAAGGAGACACGTTCATACTGTATATGTGGAAAACATCTGATATTTCTCTGGTTTTCGACAGAAACTATACAGTACATGCATAATTTACCCTTATAGTTATTTTAGCATCATTGACCTACTATTATAGCATGTGTTAATATTTAGTATTATATTTTATTTTTAGACTTTCTTTTTACATTAGTTTTGAAATTGTGGTAATTTTACTGTGTTTTTGTCTTTTGTTATTTTATAATTTTTTAATATCTAATAGTAATTATTAATTCTTTTATTAATTTTAGTTTATTTTAGTACTTCAACATGATACATTTTGCCATGGCAAATATATATATATATATATATATATATATATATATATATATATATATATATATATATATTTAAAATTAATAGTAAAAGTAAAAAATAAAACCATTAAAAAACGTAGTTTTAGTTTAGTCTGGTTATTTTAGTACTTACACTTATTTAGCTATGTTTCTCATAAAGTTAAAGTTTTTTATATTTTGTTATTTCAAATAACAATTTTTTTTCAATTGTTTTACTTTTAATGATAATAATCCTGATATTCATCCATCTGTATCAGTGATAATCTAGTAATATTAAAAAATAGTATAAAAAAATCTCAAAACTCAAAATATTAACATAATTCTAATAGTATTGCATTTGTTAATATTTTGAGTTCGATTTTATTTTTTGTTTTCACTTTAATTTTTAGTAGAAGTTTAAGAAAAAGTAATGTATTTACTATTTTTATTTATTAATTTTAGTTAATTTTGTTTTAGTTATTTTAGTACTTCGACTTTATGAGAAATGTGTCCTTGAATTCTTTTTGTTTTCACTTTCATTTTAGTTGAAGTTTAAGAAAAAGTAAAGTATTTACCATTTTTTTATTTATTAATTTTAGTTTGTTTAGTTTTAGTCATTTTAGTTCTTTGACTTGTTGAGAAATGTTTCCATGAAAACTAGTTGTAATAAGGTTAATATTTTATGTCAAACAATAAAACAGTATTTAATGGTTTTACTTTTAATTAACAATAATAAACCTGATTATTTTAGAAACGACACAGAAAAAAACTGTTTACTGTTTACTGTTTTTAAAACCTGCAAGTAACAAGTAGAAAACCTAAAATAGTATTTTCTTGTTTAACAAACTTCTCTTTACATCACTTTTTACAGTGTAGAGTGTAGTTCTGGTAGAATGTAGACAAAACTCCAGTTCAGTGTCATTTATAAAAATTCACAAAGAGTTCTTTATGAAAGACGAGGGATGTCAGAGTATATCAAATAAAACCTCGGCTGTGCTAATGAAGCGTGTCACAAACACCATCACATGTGGGAACACTGGTGTTTTACTGGCCTTCTGTCCCCCTGAAGACACACACAACACACACACACACACACACACACACACACACACACACACACGCACACATCATGACTCACACACACACAACACACACATCATGACTCTCATGTGATCCGGACAGACAGACATCTGTTATTTCATCCCGCTTTAAAAACACATCAAAAACTGCTTGTTTTGTTTCCTTTTATAAAACTCCTCCTGCAGGAACATCATTACATTGATCATTACATACAGTGTTACTCATAATCATCAATTTTTTATAATCAACATTTCAATCCATAAGTCAAAAAACTTGTCAGGCTATCAAATTTCAAAGAAACGGGAGGTAACAATGAATCAAATTGAATTTTCTAGTAAAAAAACTGAAATTGTATTTTCCTGTACTCCAATAATCTGTTTTATTTACAACTTGGAAAACTTTTTTTTCAGTGATGATGTGACACTATAAAAGTAAATCAACAGAGTAAAAGTTCATCCATGATCTCTTTCCGGAACACAGGTAAAACACGGTAAATATCAACACGGGTAAAACATGGTAAATATGAACAACACGGTAAATATAAACACAGGTTAAACACAGTAAATATGAACACAGGTTAAACATGGTAAATATGAACACAGGTTAAACACGGTAAATATGAACACGGGTAAAACACAGTAAATATGAACACGTGTAAAACACGGTAAATATGAACACGGGTAAAACACGGTAAATATGAACACGGGTAAAACACGGTAAATATGAACACGGGTAAAACACGGTAAATATGAACACGGGTAAAACACGGTAAATATGAACACGTGTAAAACACGGTAAATATGAACACGGGTAAAACACGGTAAATATGAACACGGGTAAAACACTGTAAATATGAACACGGGTAAAACACGGTAAATATGAACACGGGTAAAATGGGTAAAACACGGTAAATATGAACATGGGTAAAACACAGTAAATATGAACATGGGTAAAATACGGTAAATATGAACACGGGTAAAACGGTACATATGAACACGGGTAAAACACGGCAAATATGAACACGGGTAAAACGCGGCAAATATGAACACGGGTAAAACGCGGCAAATATGAACACGGGTAAAACGCGGTAAATATGAACACGGGTAAAACACGGTAAATATGAACACAGGTAAAACACAGTAAATATGAACATGGGTAAAATACGGTAAATATGAACACGGGTAAAACGGTAAATATGAACACGGGTAAAACACGGCAAATATGAACATGGGTAAAACGCGGCAAATATGAACACGGGTAAAACGCGGTAAATATGAACACGGGTAAAACGCGGTAAATATGAACACGGGTAAAACACGGCAAATATGAACATGGGTAAAATACGGTAAATATGAACACGGGTAAAACGGTAAATATGAACACGGGTAAAACACGGTAAATATGAACACGGGTAAAACACTGTAAATATGAACACGGGTAAAACACGGTAAATATGAACACGGGTAAAACACGGTAAATATGAACACGGGTAAAACACGGTAAATATGAACACGGGTAAAACACGGTAAATATGAACACGGGTAAAACACGGTAAATATGAACACGGGTAAAACACGGTAAATATTAAGACGGGTAAAACATGGTAAATATTAACACGGGTAAAACACAGTAAATATGAACACGGGTAAAACACAGTAAATATGAACATGGGTAAAACACGGTAAATATGAACACGGGTAAAACACGCTAAATATGAACACGGGTAAAACACGGTAAATATGAACACAGGTAAAACACAGGTAAAACACGGTAAATATGAACACGGGTTAAAACACGGTAAATATGAACACGGGTAAAACACGGTAAATATGAACACGGCTAAAACACGGTAACTAACGAACACAGGTATGATGTCATTGATCAGTAAATCAAGCACGTTCAGTGTCCTGAAAACAGACGCTGTACTTCATCTAGTCTTCAGAATCTGGATATTAGTACTGGGACAGTGGTTTATTTGCAGGCCAGGACGGCGTCGTAGATCTTGCCGGTGTTGTGGATCTGGACTCGGGAGAATCCGGCATCGGTGAGCAAGCGTCTGTAATCCGAACCCTTGCGCTCGCGACCCTCCGTCTGAACCAGCATGTTGAGCGAGTAAAGCTGAGCCGTCAGCGGGCCGCTGTTATCTTCATGAAGAAGAGCTTCCACCACCAACACACCTCCACCTGCACATCGCCACACAATACTCACTCAATGCAGATTATTATTATATAATTAGTTCAGAATGTGAAAGTCGGGTCTCAATGTTCAATACTCTTGCATGTATGCGTTTGTCAGGCGCTTTAATCACAATGTACTTTGTATTTGGATCTTGAATGTATTATTGCATAAACTCCTAATATAAATAAATGCACACATTTTAAGAATGCATAATGTGCATTCATACTTCAATTCATACATGCATAAAACTCCAATTAACATATTTTACTGGATTGCACTGTTTTTAATGTCAACAGACATTAAACGTTTTCATTTAGAGATCTGTGATTAAAGCATCTGACAAACGCATAAATGCAAATGTACTTTGTATTTTGACCAAGAACTTGAATGTATCAGTGCGTAAACTGCTAATATAAATAAATGCAACATTTTTAAGAAATGCATATTCATAATTCATGCATTTTGCATATTCATAATTCATGCATAAAACTCCAATAAACATTGTACTAGACTGCACTGTTTTTAATGTCAATAGACAACGTTTTTATTCAGATACATTTATTTTAAAATGTATTTTAGAATTTTTGTCTTATAGCTATTTTTTAAGACATTTAAGATTAATACATTTCTTTATTCACTTTGGTTTCGCCATGAAGATTATTAACCCATAGGAGCCTCCACCTGCACATCACACACACACACTCCTGTGTCATAAACAGTGTTGGGGAAAGTTACTTTGAAAAGTAATGCATTGCAATGAATTTTGCGTTACTCCCTTAAAAAATATTTTGGAAAAACCTCATCTGGTCTGGGCAAATGTGAAGACCCTTTCACATCAAAATTAAAAATAATAATCCTCAGGCTGAAGGAAGTGCAAACTCACGTGTGTACAGTAGAGGGCGCCGCTCAGGCAAAACTTTAAACACTTACTTCACCAATAAATACTAAAAATATAAAGTCATTTTTAGTGGTCAATATAAAGTGCATTGGTCAATAAAGTGAGATTAAATGCATAAAAATATTTGTTTTATTTAACATTTTTATTATTGGAGGTTTGTATAGTCTGATTTTGCATTTGACAGATTCTTTTTTTTTTCATTTTGAGGATTATTGAATGTGTTGTGCACGTGAGATGAGTAAATGCTCACATTTAGTCTAGAACTTCAATAACCCTCATGTTCACACACAACGCCTGCACTTTTAAAAGCGTCTGACAAACGCATAAATGCAAATGTACTTTGTATTTTGATCAAGACCTTGAATGTATTATTGCATACACTGCTAATTTAAATAAATGCACAATTTTTAAGAATGCATATTCATAATTCATGCATAAAACCATAAACATACTTTACTGGACTGCACTGTTTATAATGTCATTAGACAACATTTTATTCAAGGAAATGGATTTAACTCTCTGGGGTCGGCGGTCTCGCCGGCGATACCAGCTCACTTTTTTCCTTATCAGTGCAAAAGAGACTCAAATTACTCTGTTAATTTTGATCTTACATATAAGTGTTGTACATCATTAGATCCTGTTAAGTTTCTATTTTTTTTGTGGATACTCACAATAAAAACAAAGTGTTGTGCTTTTCACCAAATAAAGAAAAACAAACATGATGCGAGTTTTGCGTTCTCTCTGTCAGTGAAGTCCATTCTGAAACGCGTCCTAAGATTAACTGTAACTCCGCGATTACTTGTCACACAGGCACGAGAGGTTTTTCTTTATGAAGCTTGAATTCTCTTCTTTTAAATGAAGTAATTTATATAAAAAACAAATATTCTCAGTTTATGCAATCTGTATGAAAAGAGAGTGCTGTCAGTATTTTTTCCCCCAGCTCATTACACTTCATTACGCGTTAATCTGACACGCCCACGGACGACGCGCGCTATTCAAACGCAAATGTCGAGGCAAGCCATGACAACGCCCACATCAGCTGTTCCACCGCGGCGGTAAAATGTGTGGTGTATTTGCTGCCTTTTACCGCTAAGAGGCGCTACAATCATAGACTCTGAAAAGTGTTCGTTTATTCCGGTTTATTCTCTCTAATGCGTAATCTGCTGCCGCACCGCGCTGATTCAGAGCGATTGAAAGCTGGTAGCAGAAGAATTCAACAAGTGAAACGTAGTTAAAATAATTCATAATCACAATACTGAAATTAGGCTACTGAAATGTAATTGAATAAATAATGAAAACATTTCAACATAAAACATTGCAATAAAAACATTTAGGCTACATGAACGAGGCTTTACAACTTTAACAGCGTACAGACGATAGCTCAGTGATCAACGCAACGACACGAGCTTCGAGGAGCTTCAACAGACCCGAGATCGAATCTCAATGTAGCATAGATGTTGTTAACCGATGTTGTCCTACGTTTATATTTTCCCACCTTGATGCTTAAATAGGTAACTGTTTATATCTGTTTACTTATTTAAAGTCAAGAGTTTTGTTTGATTATCATTACAACATAAATTTGCTACATTCCTGTAGAACCGCAGCCGCTGCACAAACGACAAAAACTGATGAAGATTGTCAGCCGATCAGAAAATGAAAATGAAGAAGCTCGTCTTTAGTCTGCTAAATTATTGTGTAATGTAAAAGAACACTAAAATTACTTAAGTTTGAAACCAAGTTCGAACATTTCAAGGTTTAAATTGTTTAATTTAAAACAGGGTTGCATCTTGTTTAGAGTTTATTTCTTTTGCGATGCAAAATAAGAAACACTAGGCTAATCTTATTCTTGCGACATTTTAAATTTGTATTGCCAAAGAAATTACAGCTAAATTAAACAATTAAAACAGTAGGCCTACAAAACGAAAATTGTCCAAAGAAACATAATTAAATTAAAAACATGCGTTTCTCTTTGCCTCTCTCGCGCTGGATCTCTTTTTAACAAGTTTATTTAGTCTCCCTCGCTGCGCGCGCGGGTCTCTCTCAATTAAACATTTCAGGGTAAAAACACATCATACAGCTGATAATACTGTATATGTCGCTGCGTGTCAGCCATACAAATCACGAAAAAATTATTTAACCTTTAATTGTTGCTTCAAAGACACAGCATGCCTTGTTGAATTCACCTTACAATAACTTCAATTGAAATTTTGTGTGAAAAAAAAACTTTAAATAGGCTACAATAAATAAACTACAATATTTATAATTTAATAAGATATGGGGCCTACATTTGGACACAGATTTATCCTTACAATAATTTTGCCTGCTCATCAGGCTGGCTATCCGACACTCTCCATATGAAAGAGGAACATTAACACCTTTGTCCAGCAACTGTCCCTCCAACCCCCCACAGGCTATCGGAGTCTGAGGCTGACTTAACACAAAGAGAAGTCGCAATTCACACTTAAATCGCCATTCTAGACAGTGTTGATAATGAAGGAATTAAATGATTTAAGTTACATGTAGCCTAGTGATATTTCTGTCATAAAAGTTTATTACTAAATATTTCATTATTTCAATAATTGATGAAATAAAACTGGTTTGGGGCAGCTTTTCCAAGCAAAACTAAATATAATCTGAAAAAACGCTTGTGAATTTGTTGTCACTTAATATTAAAGTCTACAGGGATCTTTGGATCCTTACAACCAGGCATGCAATTTGTGAATTAAGTTTTTATTTTATTTTGTATTATTCAAATAAATATCGAAACACGGTGCTTCGTGGTAATGCTGCTAAATTAAATAACATTTATAGAATAATTATGAACTTAAATGAAACAATATCGCAACATTTCGACAAATACATTATTATGTTTTTACATTTTAATTCAGGGCGATTTAGCCTACATTTAATTAGAGCGAGATTTTCACCCATGTCTTGTCATTTTCTCATTGGGAAGCGCATGTTTGAGTAGATCCTCTGTACCTCTCGTTTTCATATGGATTAGCCTACATAATCAGATAACATTTATTAGCCTAAATATTTAGACATTTAAAGGCTTTAGACATAGCCGATTTCTTATCGTGACTGAGCTGAAGTGGCTTTCGGTTCATTTTTGTGACGCGCAGTTCCCGGAGACAGAGAGGACAGATATACTGTTTTTGTCGTTAGCCTAATATGAATACAAGTTTACAGTTTTGAACGATGTAAGCTACTCTACTCTTATCTGTATGACCAAAAAATTACGGAGTCGCCTATTAAGTTATTTTAGCTGTAATAATGAGATAAATAAATTAATCTAAATGAACGCGCCGCCGCGTTTGTCGAACACTAACTCACGATGCCAGAATAAAACCCGACTTTAGAAAAATGCATAGGGTCACTCGGCGTGGTGTGCCAAAACACTTAATTATAAACTTCAATATTTCATTCAAAATAATCTCAACACGCTTTGTGAAATTTTGAAAAGCCGTGCATGCATTAAGGCCACTGGAACTAATGAACAACTGAAACGCTGGTTTTGATTTTATTGTTTTTCGTTTAAACGTGCCTGTTGCATATCTCTATTTTATATATTTGATATTGGTGAAGTAGCCTATAGCATTGATTAGCTGTGGAGGGAGGGGTGTGGGGATTAAAATAATTCAGCAGAAGTAGGGATGTTTAGACCAGAAGGAAATCCCAGTCCCCCCTGGCAAATCACACTTTACTTAAAACCATGTTTTTAAAAACTCTAGGTTGTAGGGAACAGACCTCTCTGCCATGCGCGCGCACGGTTTGGAGCACAATATCTGTCTCGCATGCACGCTCGCTCTAAATAGATTACGGGATATTTTAACTAATTTACGGTATAACTAGTCGATCACGAGTGGCTCAACAGGTAGATCTATAGATAAACTATATCTTTCAGGAATTTGACCGACCGGGTTGACACTTCAGCGTGAGAAATCGGGGGGGTGGCGTGAGAGCCTGGAATAAATAAATAAAAAAATATATATAGCCTATATAAAACAAAACTGTATGGTGTAACAGAGTTTTAGAGCTAGACAAATCTCTCTGCAATAATAAATATAAAATATACAGCAGACCATGTTTGTGCGGGATTTGAACCTGTGTCATCTTGATGATGAACCATCAGTTCTACCGCTCGGCTATGAATTTTGTTACTGAGAAATAACCAAACGTTTGATTCTCACATGAGCGAGAAAACGTTTTGTCTTTAGCCTGTGAGTGTAGGCCTACTTTAACCTTTTACAGTTTTAAAAGATTATATCTTATCTGTATGACCAACAATTTGTTGTAGGCTTATTTGGAAATTACCATAACTTGTAGTATTTCATCCTTAGGCTACTGTTAATAGACATTAGCCCCACTTACGTTTTGCTAAATGTCCCTTTGCGCCACCTGGCGGTCATTTCGCGTACGACTTTGAAATGCGACTGGTTTATTTTTACCGCGGTGGATGGCTAAAAATGGTATGTGGATGGCTAAAATGTGTGACTAAAAATGTGCTTTTGGCTTTCATTTATATTTTGATTGTTTGTATATATATATATATATATATTATATGTATATATATATATATATATATATATATATATATATATATATGTATATATATATATATATATATATATATATATATTATATATATATATATATATATATATATATATATATGTATATATATATATATATATATATTATATATATATATATATATATATATATATATATAATATATATATATATATATATATATATATATATATAATGAGCCTTTCATTCAGGGGTGTCACACAAGAAAGAATGCAAGGACAATATATATATATATATAAATAAATAAATATTTATATACACACACACACACACACACACACACACACACATATATATATATATATTATATATATGTGTGTGTGTGTGTGTGTGTGTGTGTGTGTGTATATAAATATTTATTTATTTATATATATATATTGTCCTTGCATTCTTTCTTGTGTGACACCCCTGAATGAAAGGCTCATTAGTATGCAGTCTGCTCAGGTGAGAACTGCCTAATTATTCATGAGGGGGTTGGGCCGATCCGCCCATCCGCATATTGCCTTTGCAAACAAAAAAATGTTTTTCACAATTTAAAACAATCTATTGTTTTATGTGAATGATTAGCCAGAATGATTTTCAGATCAATTTGAAGCAAATACTCTAGGCGACAACATCCACTAGTCAAAAGTCTTGTGGACAGATATTTAGTATGTTATTTGTGGCCATATATTAGAAAATTTATTTTTTAGTTTTTTCAATAACCACGCATAAACAATATTCTCTCAAAAATACAAACATGTACATACATGTTGCTCACATATAATGGTAGCCCTGTGTGTGCTATATAGAGTGTAATTTTCACCTGTGCCATTAATATGTTTATAAGCAACTGAAAAATGCACAAATGTCAGAGCATGCCAAAACATCTCAAGGACCCCGAAAACACCTCAGACCCCAGAGGGTTAAGGATGCATTTTAGAATTTTTGTCTTGTATTAACCGTAAATGTCTTTAAAATAGCTATATTTCTTTATTCACTTCAGTTTCGCCATGAAGATTATTAACACATATGAAGAAGTTGTTCTGTAAAGTCTACTTATAAATGCTTTAACCAAAGCCTAACTTTTACATTTTTACAATAAACATTTTTTTATTTGACCATTTTTAAAATGAGGACGTTCCCTAAAAGAGGTTTTTAGTTACTGTGCTTAAATGGAACAATCGAGCACGAGATCTCCGCTCTGCCATCATCTAGCACGTGTGTGTGGTGTGTGTGTGAACTGTGGCATTGAGAGTGGAAGTGAAAGCCTCATATTGTTGTCTGCGGATGAATTATATAATGCGCTTCTGGCGGTTTGTGCTGGTGTTGTTCAGCGGGACGAGCCGCTCGGAGGCCGGGAGTTTCTGACGAGTGTTTTCTTGACATTTGCTCATCTTTATTATAAAGTCGAGAAGCAGCAGCCCTCAGACATAAACACAACACACACACACTCTCTGGTCAGGCACACACACACACACACACTACACACACACACACACACACACACACACACACACACACACACACACACACACACACACACACACACACACACACTGTTTGAGAGAGAGAGAAGAGAGAGAGACGAGAGAGAGAGACGAGAGAGAGAGAGAGAGAGAGAGAGAAGAGAGAGCGAGAGAGAGAGAGAGAGAGAGTGTATGTGTGTATCTTGACCAGCAGCTCCACACTCCTCTGGTCGGCCAGTGTGTGTGTGTGTGTGTGTGTGTGTGTGTGTGTGTGTGCCTGCTCTACAGGACTGGTGTATCTTGACCAGCAGCTCCACACTCCTCTGGTCGGTCAGTGTGTGTGTGTGTGTGTGTACCTGCTCTACAGGAATGGTGTATCTTGACCAGCAGCTCCACACTCCTCTGGTCCGGTCAGTGTGTGTGTGTGTGTGTGTGTGTGTGTGTACCTGCTCTACAGGACTGGTGTATCTTGACCAGCAGCTCCACACTCCTCTGGTCGGTCAGTGTGTGTGTGTGTGTGTGTGTGTGTGTGTGTGTGTTGTGTGTGTGTGTGTGTGTGTGTGTGTACCTGCTCTACAGGACTGGTGTAATCTTGACCAGCAGCTCCACACTCCTCTGGTCGGTCAGTGTGTGTGTGTGTGTGTGTGTGTGTGTGTGTACCTGCTCTACAGGACTGGTGTATCTTGACCAGCAGCTCCACACTCCTCTGGTCGGTCAGTGTGTGTGTGTGTGTGTGTGTGTGTGTGTACCTGCTCTACAGGACTGGTGTATCTTGACCAGCAGCTCCACACTCCTCTGGTCGGTCAGTGTGTGTGTGTGTGTGTGTGTGTGTACCTGCTCTACAGGACTGGTGTATCTTGACCAGCAGCTCCACACTCCTCTTGGTCGGTGTGTGTGTGTGTGTGTGTGTGTGTACCTGCTCTACAGGACTGGTGTATCTTGACCAGCAGCTCCACACTCCTCTGGTCAGTGTGTGTGTGTGTGTGTGTGTGTGTGTGTGTGTGTGTGTGTGTACCTGCTCTACAGGACTGGTGTATCTTGACCAGCAGCTCCACACTCCTCTGGTCAGTGTGTGTGTGTGTGTGTGTGTGTGTGTGTGTGTGTACCTGCTCTACAGGACTGGTGTATCTTGACCAGCAGCTCCACACTCCTCTGGTCAGTGTGTGTGTGTGTGTGTGTGTGTGTGTGTGTGTGTGTGTGTGTGTGTGTGTGTACCTGCTCTACAGGACTGGTGTATCTTGACCAGCAGCTCCACACTCCTCTGGTCGGGTCAGTGTGTGTGTGTGTGTGTGTGTGTGTACCTGCTCTACAGGACTGGTGTATCTTGACCAGCAGCTCCACACTCCTCTGGTCGGTCAGTGTGTGTGTGTGTGTGTGTGTGTGTGTGTGTGTGTGTGTGTGTGTGTGTACCTGCTCTACAGGACTGGTGTATCTTGACCAGCAGCTCCACACTCCTCTGGTCGGTCAGTGTGTGTGTGTGTGTGTGTGTGTGTGTGTGTGTACCTGCTCTACAGGACTGGTGTATCTTGACCAGCAGCTCCACACTCCTCTGGTCAGTGTGTGGTGTGTGTGTGTGTGTGTGTGTGTGTGTGTGTGTGTGTGTGTGTACCTGCTCTACAGGACTGGTGTATCTTGACCAGCAGCTCCACACTCCTCTGGTCGGTCAGTGTGTGTGTGTGTGTGTGTGTGTGTGTGTGTGTGTACCTGCTCTACAGGACTGGTGTATCTTGACCAGCAGCTCCACACTCCTCTGGTCAGTGTGTGTGTTGTGTGTGTGTGTGTGTGTGTGTGTGTGTGTGTGTACCTGCTCTACAGGACTGGTGTATCTTGACCAGCAGCTCCACACTCCTCTGGTCGGTCAGTGTGTGTGTGTGTGTGTGTGTGTGTGTGTACCTGCTCTACAGGACTGGTGTATCTTGACCAGCAGCTCCACACTCCTCTGGTCGGTCAGTGTGTGTGTGTGTGTGTACCTGCTCTACAGGACTGGTGTATCTTGACCAGCAGCTCCACACTCCTCTGGTCGGTCAGTGTGTGTGTGTGTGTGTGTGTGTGTGTGTGTGTGTGTGTGTGTGTGTACCTGCTCTACAGGACTGGTGTATCTTGACCAGCAGCTCCACACTCCTCTGGTCAGTGTGTGTGTGTGTGTGTGTGTGTGTGTGTGTGTGTGTGTGTGTGTGTGTGTGTACCTGCTCTACAGGACTGGTGTATCTTGACCAGCAGCTCCACACTCCTCTGGTCGGTCAGTGTGTGTGTGTGTGTGTGTGTGTGTGTGTGTGTGTGTGTGTGTACCACTCCTCTGGTCGGTCAGTGTGTGTGTGTGTGTGTGTGTGTGTGTGTGTGTGTGTGTGTGTACCTGCTCTACAGGACTGGTGTATCTTGACCAGCAGCTCCACACTCCTCTGGTCAGTGTGTGTGTGTGTGTGTGTGTGTGTGTGTACCTGCTCTACAGGACTGGTGTATCTTGACCAGCAGCTCCACACTCCTCTGGTCGGTCCAGTCATGCAGAATCCGGGCCAGAATATAGAGATCGGCCGGCGGGAGAGCGTCCTTGAAGAAGTCGCCTGTCAGAGACACACACACACACACACACACACACACACACACACACACACGTTCAGTACAATCACTGACACTGACAACAGCTGAAGAGGTGTGTGTACTTTATTTAAATAGAGTCCAGACCTCGTGTTGTCCAGCACAGATTATCAGTCAATAACAGTTCATCAATAATCATGTACTAATGCCTGAATTAACCGTTACTTCAACATGAACTAATGAAGAGCGATCCTTAACTAAACAACAAAATAAAGTAAATCAAA